CTGTCTCGCGATGATTTTCAAACAAATCATAGCTATTGCCAAAACGAAGGCCTTGACAGCTGTGCTAAAAGTCCCACTTGATGATTGCGTTATTTATAACTTTCGAACAATTGACTATTTCGACGTGAAATATTATTCTTAATCGACGAAGACAATATCATACATTCTCCAATTATTTCATTCTAATCAGTTGCACTGTATGAAAAAATGCTTGTTGAGATGATGTCTCTCTTGAACGTCCATTCTTCGACTAAAAATTGTCAAAGCGAAACAAGTGCCTCGGAGAAATGATAGGATTTGTTATCGGAGTTTTCTTTTTCAACACATTCAAATGGTTCATGTGCTAATTAAATGAAAAAGATATTATGATTATTTTCTCTATCTGTAACTGTGCATGATCTTGTAAAATCTATAGAGAACTTGGCAGGTGTCAAATTTTCTAATTTCATTATACTTTGCCATAATTAACTGTCAAGATGACATCATTTTCACCTCATCCTAGTCAGACAACACACCTTGTCACAAATATATATGTAACAACATACTTTTGATAAAGCCATGAAACAATCGACTGACGTCTATCACTCTAGATGTTGAGACAGAAATTGTGTGCAATGAACACAAATTCTCATCTACAACTCTCTGGAGAACAACTTGTGCAGGTATGGGATATTAAATGGAATGTTTCGCTAATGTTGCTTTTGAAGTAATAAAGTTGGATGTTTAGTTGCACTACATAAGAGAGAGTTTGAAAAAGTGTATTGTTGTTTTGGTTAAAATTTGAAATACTGAAAGATTTGGATTATGAGTTTTTTTTTCTTTTATACAAGTCAGGAAATATACGAAATGTTCGTTTCGGGTGTTTGGAAAAAGGGGAAAAAGTTCCTTTCCCTCTTTATGGTTCTAAATGTTACATAGAAAGAATTATTTGAAATTAGAACTCTGTATGAAATTAGTATTTTGTGTCAAAGTCAAGCTGAGAGAAAAGGTCGAAATGTCTTTTCTTCCACTAATGAGAACCTTTCTTACATTTCATGACAAGGAAAGTTGAAATAATGAAGCTATTTAAAATGCACTAGTCTAGTGGAGAAATAATTTATCTTTAGTTTATAATAACTCTTCATTTGCTATTAGAGATTGTATTAACGTAATAAAACAGCACAAGAATAAGGTGGAGAACGTCTCATTAGTTGTTTCACGTAGATTGTGCTCAAAAGATTAAAGGAACAAATTCACAAACATTCTAGTTTGAATGCTGGTATCCGCAGATAAATGCGCTGTGAACCTGACAAGAAAATTACGAGAAGCAAATAATATCAGAGGTTTCTGTGTGAATTTAATCCCCAGATGAGCTGTTCGATTTTATCGTAATTTAGAGAACAATCAACTAGTTCCTATTAAAAATCAGTTTTAACTATACAAAGCGTCTTTTTATTAGTTCTTCAATATTATATTCATTTCATATTCAGTAAATAATTCTTTTCACTTTTATATGCGACCGTAGGATGAGGCGTTCATATAACAAAGTGGAAGGTCTTAAATATTGAACAAGAGTGTGAAAAAGAAAGAAAGGTTTTCAAAAGTTGCTCTTTTAATTGTTTTTCCACTTCTACTATAATGTTTTATTCACGAACATATAAGAAAAGAAATAAATGCATCCTCGAATTTAAAAATAAAACTAAGAATGGTGAATAGTGATTGTTTCTTTTTTTTAATGAATTATATCTTGAATATTTTTTTTTTCATATATATTATGCCTACATACGAAACTGATTGAATTCTTTTCTTTCTACTATTTTTTCTCCCATTTCTCTCTCTCATTTCGTGATCTTATGTACTACATATAACCTGCGGCTATGTTTAATAGTTTTAATATGGCCTATATGTTGAGAAGTTGGATTATATGTATATTTTTTAAATAATTATGTTTCTTTCTTAAAATATTCATAAGGTTAAATTTTGAACAACTTTTATTTTTCTATTTATTATTTTATTTTCTTCTCTCTACTCATCTGTCTCACTATTTATTTTTTTTCTCTTCTCTTTTTTTAACATATCTACTTTATTTGCATGCACTGTTATCTGGTAGTTCAATCAGTTCTTCAAAAAAAGTATTAAACAATAGAACATAACGCAAGAAAGATGGATATCCAAGAAAATGAGGTATGTGATTAAAAAGGAAACGTCTGCTATTAAATTAATCCTCATTTATAAGTAAAATTGAATCATTTTACCTCATATAAGTATAAAGAAAGGGGACGAGAGAGAGAAAGAGAGCATAGTGCCTGTGCTAAATACAATTTATTCTTTCCTCGAAGACATATCTATCACAGATTTTGGGTAAAGAGGATTATATTTAGACCATTATATTAACGTCTGTGAAACGTCTATTTTCTCAAAAACTGAGGTAAAAATACATTCTTAAAATATGAATTCTAATCACAAACGTGAGAACGAATAAAAACTTTTTAGCGCTAAAGAATTTTTATATCAAGAAGGTTATTGTATTTTGTATAGTTTTTACTATATCAGTGCTTTTAGAAGTAAAATAAAATTGAGATAGAGCTTTTCAAGAGAGAGAGAAGGAAAAACAGAATAAAATTTTTAGTTTTAGTAAAATAATCATATTTTTTATAGTCGTGGAGAGAAAAAACACTTGTTTAGTGGGTTTTCTTCCGTAGTTGGTCTCGATTGTTTTTCTAATCTGTAACTCCAAAAGTTACAGTTAACATACAAAAATTTCGATGTAATTTAAAGAACTTCGTAGGTGTAAATAAAATTACACTCTTTATAAATAATCGAGACGAAATATAGAGGAAAAATTACTTTTTATTATAATCATAGTTAAAATATTGTGTAAAATTGACGAGAGTACTGTCCAATTAAAAATTCTAGATAATGCTACTATACATTTCGTCAGAATTAGAACTAAAAATATGTAATTTCATAGTTTTTCACCTAAAAATTTACTTAAGTGTATGGGTTATAGTGAGAAAAAACTTCCACCATTTGAAATAAAAATTTTTTCATTATCAAAAATGCCAGTTGAACATTATGCAAAGTCTCTGTAATTATGTACTGTAGAAAAATAAATAATAGAACATTTTCATTTAAAGATCGAGAAAAGAAAAAGTAAAGTAGCCTTGTGAGACAGGTATTTGTTTAAAAATGTGGGAATATGAGGAAAACAAAATTTACGATTCTGCAATTGTTTGTTCTAATACCAACTACATTAGGGAATTTTATATATATTATTACACAATAATGAATATTCCTAGACACATAAAAATAGGTTATAGAGTATACTAGATATTTAAAAGCCTATAAAATTCAGTGTGATAATTAAATATCAACAAAAATTAACAAATCGTTTCAATTTCATTTATTTTTATTTTTTGGTTAAAATTATGACTTTGCTATTTTAAATTCTCTATATTGTTCACAATTTCTTAAACAAACTATTGATATATTGTAAGATTTTGTGACATAGTTAGATAATTATATGCTGTCTAATAATAAAATCTTTTGGATTTACTTCAACTTTGGTACATTCTTGGGATATAATACAAGAATAATCATCAGCTTAAAGTTGACCTCAAGAGAAATAGTAGACATTGTGAAAGGAGATTATCATCACATTATTATCCGCAACAGAACATGATAGGAAACGCATCAGTTAGCATGTGTTCAATTCTCTTTTTTCATTTTTCTCATCATTCTCTTGTTTTCTCTATGTTCTCACTCATCTGGTGTGATTCCCTATAGTTGTCGTAAGTCGATTCTATCATTTCATCTCTTTTCTCATCTTTTTATTTTATTCTTTAACAACAGAATAGGTCGATCACAATTATGTTCGTCTTTCAACTTGTTTTTCTTCTTTTTTTTCAAAGATCATTATTACTGTTAGAATGGTGTAGTGTGTATGCAATTTATATTTGACAAAGTGTAGAATTTTACTAACAAATGTTTTTTCTTTCATCATAATACGTTCATTATCATGCATAGGCAGAGACAAATGTTTTTTTGCATTCTTTTTTTTCATTCAAGTGAAGATCCATATCATGTGTTTTGCTATTGAGACTATATCCTTTGATTCTATTCTGCTCATCTTTTAATTATTGAGTACACTTCTTTCACATGTTACATTTGTATAAATGAATGAATGGAATATTCAGGTTATAATCAACAAAAGATTAAACAAAAGATTTTCGGTAGTGTAAATTGTGAGTTCGTAAATTGATTATAAAAGGAAATAGAAGCGATTTTATGTGTAAAATGACGACGAAGAAAACACAAAAAGAAAAACTAAAGTATTTTTTATTCAAATTTATTTAGTACAGGGTGATGGACATTTCACGTTCTTTAAGATGTTTATTTTTAATATTTAGTGTATTTTATTTATTATTCTTATTATGTATTAAGTTTGGTTTTCATCAGAGTAGCTCAGACAGTAAAATTTTCTTTTTAAAGGAAAATGTAAAGTCAACGGATCAGTGAGAAGTACGACTTTTTTAATACCAAATTAAATTAGGAATAATATCAAAAAGACATTGAGACATATTAGCATTAGAAATCTACTCTTTATTCTGTTAGAAGTATACATACTGATGTTGCAATTTTTTGTGACATTCTGTACTGTTCCAATACATTTCAAACCGATGAATTCATGTATCAAGAAGATTTTCTGCCAGTATGTGATCGTTATTAGTATAATTCAGGATGCCTTCCAAAATCTTTCACCTATGAGACAACTTTTTGTGAGATCTGTTTTCGTCAACATCAAACCCTGTTTTCATCATTTCTAATGGAGAAGCTTGCAAAAGTACATACCCATCAATGAACCCTATAATAGAATCTTATAGGATCCTATTAGGATTAGATAAAATTATTCAGGATCCCATAGAAATAGCTTGAAATCGGATATAGTGCAGCATTTTGTAGGAATTCGACAGGATATGGTAGGATTCGGCAGCATTCATATTGGATCCTACGACACGATTTCGGATTCCAAGATTTTTCATGCGATTTCATGTGAATTTGAATTATCTAGGATCCTAGTAGAATTTTCTGACCTGGGTAAAAGAAATATTCTTGTTTAATGAATGAACTTCTAAAAGTTTCATATTTTCATGTATATTTAGAATTTTGATTTATTATCTGTCACGTCAAAAACAAAACTAATGGCCGATACTGATCAACGATATAGGTTGGTTGTGATGGGCGCTAGTCGTACGGGTAAAAGTAGTATAATACGAATGTTTTTGAATGGAAAATGTCCTGAAACTTACCGTGAAACTGTTGAAGATTTATATTATCGAGAATATACAGTTGAAGATAAAACAATTAAAGTAAGTCTTTAACAGTAATAATTAACCGCTTTTCATTAATTTTCTTTTATTTTTAAGGTTGATATTTTGGATACGGCAGGTGAATTATATTATTGTCTATTTAATTATCTCTTGTGTACTAAAGATTTTATTTATTTTAGGCAATATGGAGTTTCCAGCTATGCGCCGATTATCTATTGCAACATCACATGCTTTTATACTTGTTTACAGTAAGTACACATATTTAACTAAAGATGAATTTATCCAGTGCATTCATATCAATTAGGTGTAGATAATCTGTCATCATTTGAAGAAATTCGTCATATTATTGAACAAATAAAAGAGCAACGATCAACAAATTATCAAGAAATACCAATTGTGGTTGTTGGTAATAAAACCGATCGAACAGATAAGCGTCAAATAGAAGAAGAACAAGTACGAGATATGTTACAAGAATTGGGACCATTACATTGTCGTTTTGCTGAATGTTCAGCACTTGATCGTCCAAGTATTATTGACATATTTTTAAAATTATTGAGTCTCGTTCAATTATCCGCTGCTCGAACACTAAGTCCAATATTACGACGAAAAGTAAGTGAAAGATTGAAAAAAAAAGAATTTACAGAAAATGAGAAAGGTATTAATCGTAGTAGAAGTTTAATACGTCGAACAAGTGTAAAGAAAAAAACTCAAACAGAAAAATTAAGTGAAACACCAAACGACTGTCTAATATCGTGAAATTATGCTTCTATGCAATTACGGTCTAGTCATTGAATGAAAAACACTGTGTGTACAAAATATCAGTGAAAAAAAAAAAAGTAGATACATCAACAAATTATGCCCGGTTGAATTGTCTTTGATTTTCTTTCTTTTTTAATTTATATAAGCATGCAAACAGTACTGTGACTTTTGTATTCTTTCTAATCCCTACTGTCACACCATGTAGACTACTCATATACAGTATAGATAGAGACAGAAATATATTCATCGAGAACACTAGAATGCGAAAATGTATATAAATATATATATATATATATAGACTACATCTCGTAACGGGAAAAAAAAAGTGAAAGTCCCTTTGCACGTGTTTAAAAGATTTTGCTTAACTTTTGTATGATAATCTTTCTGATCACTTCAAAAAAACATTGGTCATAGAGAATACTCAACTTTAAAGAAGACTACCCTTCAAACCTTTTTTTTCTGTTTCATCTTGGGATTGTAATTTGGAGATATAAAATAGAAGAATGTTATACAATAAGATTCCTTCTAGATTAAATCTATTAAAATGAGCATTGAGAATGCGCTTAAGCTTTTACTTTTTTTTTCTTCTCATTTTACTTAACTTCATTTGTACATATCACTGTAGATCTATGCTCATGATGTTGTTGTTTTTTCTAATTAAATTTCACTGTATTTGCACTTAACTATGTTTGTTTGTATTTTTTCTCTTTTTTTTTTTCTTTAATGTATATACTTTTTTCTCATTTAAAAAATATATTTATAGTCAACAAAACAAGCAAGAATATATAATTACTGTCTTCCTCCTTCTAGCATGACTTCCTCGACATTTATTTTTAATTTGGGTTTTATATAACTTACTATAGTTTAGTATTATAAAAAACAACAACTCCTTCTTACAGAAGTAACGATATTTTTACTTTGTTTTTAGTAGACTCTAGGAGAAGAAAAAAAAAGAATCAAAGATAACAAATTATTAATGTACATAGTAAAAACATATGATGCATAAATTAACGAAAAAAAAAATTTAAGACGGGATTTAAAATCATGTTATTCTATCTTCGAGGAAAAGAGTCACATTTTTTTCTCGTTCATTTCTTCCGAAAATAGCAAAAGTGGATAGACACGCTATATTATTGTAAGAAAACTTAAATTATACATGAAATCAACATATATCTACAAAAATATACCTTCAATTAGAGTGTTCTCAACAATTTGATTAATAAAAATTGTGTCGTTCCACATTCCATTGTATGAGCGTCAAAGAAACAGATAAAAAAAAAACTTTTGTATGATTAAAGAATATTCAATATTTTTTCTTCATGTTTAGGATATGAAACGTGGACGTTTATTTTCAGATGAAAAGAAAACAAATACAAAGAGAACAATGTTTATTAATTCATAATCTACTTTAGATAAATTCTTAAATTTAGCTCAAACTTCCATTGAAAACTGTTTACTGAAGTGTATAAATTTTATTTTATGTATTTAATAAATTAATAGTAACAATATATAAAAACAAAATCGAACAATATTTCAACACTTTATGCAGTCATTTTTAAACTGGTACTTGATGTACATGTGCTCAACTTCTCATTACTTCATCTGATTCGTGTTTCTTAATAACGATAATATATCACGTAATATTTTCCCCAAAACATATAGAGAAAAATATTCTTTTACATTGGTTTAGGCTGGTTTAACAGTATGACAAAAAAATAAAGAAGAAAACAAAAGGAAAATTAGAGAGTAAAGAAAATTATTTCCATTGAAATTGGAACATAATTTTGTTGTATGATGTCACATGTCACGAGTAAAATATGTCTCAAAAGAAAATACTTGTCTGATTATAATTAATGAGTTTTCTAAAATAAAATATATGATTTTGACACGTTATTATAACGGAACGTAAATTATGATATGTTTATGTAAATTGAAATGACGTTAGAGAAGAAACATAGTCACAAATAAGTTGTGAACTATAGTTACGGTAAAAAAAGAAAGCCTCCAAAAGTTGACGCTTGTTAGTGGACGGTTTTTTCGTCACATCTTGGTATGCTTTTTTGCTAGACGGTTTTTTTTCTCGACGAAGTTTTTCGTATGTTTGTTTTGTTAGATGGAAAAACAAAATTTGAAAAGATTTCTAAATAATATTTTACTCCATTTTGAACACACTATCGGGTGGCTCAGATAAAATCGGACACTTTCATTCGTTGTTCATGAGGCATTGTCAGGTAATCCACAGAGTTGGTTCTAAGCTCAATCGATAGAGAATTGAATTCTCTACAAAACTTGCTATTTGAATCTCTGATAACAGTTTTGTCGTTTG